TCGTGAGGATCCCAGAGCGATATTTTTTCTCTATAGATAAGTTGAACACCGTAAATATGTACGCAAAGAATAGACATAGACATAGACATAGACATATTTTTCTCTTATTCTCTCTACTTCATTATATACACATCGAACGCACAATTTATTACTACTATACTATGTCTATTCACATAAATGTAGGCTATAAGAATATCTATATTGTCATGCTGAATGAATTTGCAGTATCGCTTATCGTATAAATTCTGACTTTTGAAACCCTGTTCTCCTTACTGATCTTCGCTCGTTCGTGCAGAAAATACTGCTCGAGTAGATGAATCATGAAGAGTAAACCAAAACAAGCTATTGCTCATGAAGTTCATTGAAAATTCTTAGAAATAATCGCTTCGAAACCATCGGTATCTTTTTGCCTTGAAATCCTTGATTACGAAATTGATAAATTAATATTTCTAGTTCGGCTGTCTTGGATTACAGCAGTCAACAAAATAGAGCATGCGTAGACATAAACCTCTTCCACATGGTCTGCTAGCTCCGCCCTCTCACAATCACTTGACAACATATTGACATCTTGGGTAAGTTCCTGGAGACCCCTGGGTACTATTGCGCAACTTTCCCATTTTGTCGTGGAGAAGACAGAAAAAAAAAAAACCAAGACATTTTATGACTGTGATATCACAGGTATCCCAGTAAAAATTCAAAATCCCGGCGCTCTATAAATTGGATTGGTAAACAAAAGACTTGTCCACACTTGCCTAACAATAAACTCATGACGTCAATTGCTCGTCATGGCAACCTCAAACAACCTACTCGTTATTTTATTGATGAATAATTAATGTGACTCGTCCTGCTCGTCAATGGCCCACGATTTTATGGTAATAAACAATACAAATAATTAAATCCAACGCATATAGTACACATAATGCGTGACTTATTAGAACATAATTAGATCCTCTGCAAATATACTCGAATCCACCACAAAATTAGTGAATCTACCGCGAAAATCCGGCCCGTGGGGTGCGGCCTATACTACTGTCCACTAAAAATGATCAGTCCCTGGATTTGTTGGGATTTCAAATTATACTTCGATGAATTTCAAAACGTTTTGAAAAATAGAAGCATACTGTATTTGAAAAAATAGTCAACCGTTTGAAGTTAAACCGCCCTTTGGCTTATTCCGGTTGATAAAAGTGCCCCCCCCCCCCCCCCCCCAATTCAACAATATCCTTTTCAGTCAGTATAGTGACACCATGGAAATCGTCTTGTTGCTGGGATACCTGTGGTATATCAGCTATAAAATGCCTTTGCTTGTTTTTTTTTCTCCTCGACAAAATGGCAAAGTTGCGCAATTGTTACCCAGGGGGTCTTCAGGAACTTACCCAAGAGACCTTTGCGGGTATCTGCTATAGGGTTCCCATCTATAGTCCAATCAATTATCATGTACCAGATATCAATCAATGTCAATATGTTGTCAAGTGATTATGAGAGGGCGGTGCTAGCAGATCACGTGGCACAGGCTTATGTCTACGCATGATCTGTTTCGTTGACCGCCGTAATTCAAGACAGCCGAACTAGAAATATTAATTTATGAATTTCGTAAACAAGGAGAAGATAGCGAGGATTTTGAAGGATTATTTCTAAGAATTTTCAATGAACTTCACGGGCAAAAGCTTGTGTTTTGGTTAACTATTCATGATTCATCTACTCGAACAGTATTTTCTGCACGAACGAGCGAAGAAGGATGAGGAGAACAGGGTTCGAGAGTCAGAATTACGATAAGCGATCGTATATTAAACAAATTCATTCAGCATGTCTCGTTAATTCTCTTGAAATTGATAATATAGTTTTATATATAACCTATATTTATGTATTTATATTAACTGTTTTGGCTTCAAAGTCTACTCACAAAGGAACATGAGGTACATAGCAATACTTATTTTAAGATTCTATTTGATTTGATAAACAAAATAAATAATTTGCTACGCCACGCACATTCTAGGATTTGATCTTTGCGGTTCGAAGCGTTACTAGTATGATCTCTTTAATTTTTCTTTTAAAAAAAATTGCGATAAATCATAAGATGTAAAGCAATTATGAGAGAGGTTTTGAGCAAATATTAGTTGTATTTACGTCTTAAACAAAGCATTTTGATTTTAAAGCGAGCCGTGCGAATGTGCATGCTTTTGAAAAGTCGTTTGTCAAAGTCAAAGTCAGATTGACTTTGATGATTATACGGCAATAAACGCTCTGCCTGAAAACCGCTTTTAACACTGTTGTTCGAAATTTTGCAACTTATTTTTACTTCTGCTTTAGATCAAAGGCTACACCCATTTTGATAGAAATTCCTTAACATGATCATAGCGAAAGCGAAAAGAAACAAAATGTTGCCCCTGGGGCCGTGTAACTATAGCCACGATGACGCACATACTGAGTAGTGGTAGTTCCCCAAATGATAAGACTGAAGAMAATTCATCTCTGGGTTTTCGAGGGATCATAAAGCTCTAGGTTATATACCAAAGTGAGCTGTGCAGCTTCAAGTATGGTTCGGGGCCTGCATCATCAAGATTCCTCCACAGACTTCACATCATCATCTGAAGATGAAGGTAAGATATAACTTGTTATTAACTTGTTATTACTACAAATGTTAGTAAAAGGATACCACAAAAGTTAGTTTGTTATCAGATCCAAAGACATCTTTACAAGATCCACATGATAGACTAGTGGGATTATTTTAATTGAGTTAACTTTGTAGGAGTTGATCATCATATATGTTTTCAAGTCGGTGTGGCATTAGCTTGGCGGTTTATTACCGTGGAATAGTCTAGTCCAACACCGCTGCGAATTTAATTTTCTACCGTTTGCCTGTTCTTTAAATTGGACTTGTTCTAAAATATTACGCGACTCTTATTTCCTATGACGTTATTAAATGCAGACGAACTTTATCTGTAGATGTATAATCTCAGGATATATATGGCTTATTGCTTCCGTTCTCGGTATTTATGTACCATTAACACATCAGCGGGCCGCTATGTTCAAATGTGGCAGGACTGATTTACATTTATGCCAGAACTTTGGGTTGAGTGGAATGAGACAAGCTTTTATAAAGCAGCTGAGCTCAGCTGAGTAATTTGTCTTATTTTGTCTTGGTGTGTACTTTATTCTTAAATAGACGTTGACCTATGGAAGACCAGGTCCCTATACATAACATACAACCTAGCTATATTGTTCTTTTGACAGTATCTATATTGTAAATCAGTCGACGTACGATCAGGGAAATTTCCCGTTTGGCCTGCCCAGGATGTAAAGATCAACCACAAGACAATTGAATGTCACTTTTCATTGAGAAAACAACCATTCCTAGTAGTGCTATTCTCGCTATTTTGGACGTTTGTTCACTCTGCACTAACATCCCTCAAGAAGAGGATATAAGTGTTATTTTTAAATGCTTATGAATCTCAAATTCAGCCTAACCTACCTATACCAACACTAGAGTTGAATAATTTACTTAGGCTTATTTTAAGTGAGAATTCTTTTAAGTATAACAGCAAACACTATCTCCAAACACACGGAATAGCTATGGGTACTAAGATGGCAGCAGCATTCTTTCGATTATCTTTATGGCTAACATAGAGACGAATTTGTTATTAAAAAGCCCTCTAAAACCTCTCATATGGAAGAGATTTATTGATGACGTATTCACCGTGTGGACGATCAATGAAGCAGAAATTAACGAATTATGCAAATTCACAACACACTACGATCAAATTCACTAGCGAAATTTATCAAAATAAAATGGTTTTCCTTGATACTGAAGTATACGAAAGTGATCGTTTTAAAGAACGAAATATACTTGACATTCAAACGCATTTTAAACCTACTGAAACTTGTCAGTATTCACACTTCTCTTCTTGTCATCCTTTCAGTGTTAAGAAAGAATTCATCATGGGAAAGGCCTTACGGCTTCTTAGAACTAACTCAACCAAAGAATCATTCGAAGCAAACAAACCGGCAACTTTAAAGTTCGTTTAATCAAACGAGGATACCCTCCTCAACTAACACAAAAGATTCTTGACGAAGTTCACTGATTCTCACAGAGAAGTAAAGCTTTGACACAATCAGAATGCAAAACGAATAAGAAAGTTGTAAGACTATGGATGGAGGTTTTATTGAACCTCGTCTTAGACGTTATACAACGAGTTAAGTATCAGATCTAACTACACAAACTAGAGCAGAGTTAGGTTGACCAGAAGGACTTTGCTTAGTCGGTGTGGCTGTCAGTCGGGGTTCCTTTATACTCGGTCCTAGCTTACTAAAGTCTGTACCTCCCAGTACAACCCGAACTACAATCTTAGCCTTGTTCACAACTAAGTACAAGATTGAATGCACA